ACCGTTTCACGCACCGTTAACGACGTGCAATACTATGCCGGGAATACTTCAAAACGATATTAAGAATGTAATATTTCGATTTTGTTTGATATCCCGTAATGAGCGTGAAAATAAATACAAAAACATAAGTAAAAAAAATAAAAATAAAAAATATTTCATTTCTTTCTCCGTGCACGGAGTCCTCTTATTCTTTTCTTCTTTTTTAAATAAAAGCTAATACTTCTTTATATATATATATATATATATATATGTTTATTTATTTATTTATTATTATTTTTTATAAGCTTGAAGCAAATTTTTACTATGTAAAGAAATATAATTAAAACTTTGAGTTAATATTTAATCTAAAGTAATATTTAGATAAATTTAATTTAAAAAATTCAATATTACTATAAAATTAACTATTGTCTGAAATTATTAGATATATCCAACTACAATGATATAGTTTTTTTTTATTTTTTTTAGTTTTCTATATCTATATTAATGTAAATATATCTATATATATACACTCTATGCACGGAGGAATGCTTCGTTTTTGCTCCACACTTGGAAAAAAAATGAAATTTTAAATAATTGAAAAAAATTTACGTCATATCGCATAAATTTTTTGAGCAAAATGATGTATTGAGAAAAATGTTGCAAAAAAATAATAAATAGTAATAAAAAAAATTTTTAACACATACATTTAATGTCTATTTAACTATTTTCGATATTTATTTAAATCATTCGATGTCTCTACGATATAGTTCTCAAAATAAGTTTCGAGAGAATGTAAAACATTTATGATTCGTACAATCGTCGACGAATTTTTAAAGTTAGCTTGTTATCGAAAATTTCGAAATAGTAATAAAATAATTGATTTTTTTAAGAAAAAGGACTTATGCGTATTTTTTAACACATACGTTAAATGTCGATTTAACTATTTTTTATTTTTTTTTAAGTATTTGTGTTGTTTACATTATAATTTTTTTTCAGTTTAAAATTCTTTTCTCTTAATAATTTCAAACAGAAACTTAGTTTTTATATGCACTATAAATAATTTTTCTTTTCAACTTAAAATTCTTTTTTAATTTCTTTCTCTTTAATTTTTACTCACAAGTAACTTTTTACCTCTAAGAAATATTTTCTATCTTATATTATTAGTATTTTTATTTTTTAATAATTTCAGATAATATTTAATTTTATAGTAATAAAATATATAAAAAATTTTACTTTAAAATATTTTATTACACTGTAAGAAACTGCTGCAACACGTAATTTCCATACCTCCCATCACTCCATACTCAACCACTCTTATATAGATATATATAGTAAGGATATAAGAAAAAAATTTACTTTTATATAAAAAAAAAATTATGAAAAGTTACTTTTAAGTAAAAAATTTGAAGAAAAAAAATTAAAAAGAATTTTAATTTTTGTTGTTCACATTATAATTTTTTTTCAATTTATAATTCTTTTCTCTTAATAATTCCAAACAGAAATTTATATTTGAGAATTTTTTTTGTGTAGTTTTACATTATAAATAATAGTTTTTTCAATTTAGAATTCTTTTTAATTTTTTTTGTAAATTTACAAAAAAATTTTAATAGTTTGAGATAAAATTTAATTTTCTATTAATAATTCAATATATAAAATGATAGAAAAAATATTCACTCTGTACATGGAGAAAATTTTTTTCGTCATACCACATAATTTTTTTGAGCAAAATGATACATTGAGAAAATTGTTTCGAAAAAAGAATAAATTGTAATAAAATAATTGATTTTTAAAGAAAAACGACATATACGCATTTTTAACACATACGTTTAATCCCTGTTTAACTATTTTCGATATTTATTTAGATCATCTGATATCTCTACAATATAGTTCTCAAAATGAGTTTCGAGAGAATGTAAAACATTTATCGATTCGACTATCGTACAATCGTTGACGAATTTTTAAAGTTAGCTTGTTATGAAAAATTTTGAAATAGTAATAAAATAATTGATTTTTTTAAGAAAAACGACTTTCGCGTATTTTTTAACACATACGTTTAATGTCCGTTTAACTATTTTTTATATCTATTTAGATCATTCGATATTTTTACGATATAGTTCTCAAAATGAGTTTCAAGAGAATGTAAAACATTTATCGATTCGATTATCGTACAATCGTCGATGAATTTTTAAAGTTAGCTTGTTATCGAAAATTTCGAAATATAGTTTGAAAATGCCTACTTTGACGTCCCATAACATTTGTTATAATTGACCGTTTCACGCATCGTTAACGACGTGCAATACTATGCCGCGAGTACTTCAAAACGATATTAAGAATGTAATATTTCGATTTCGTTTGATATCTCGTAATGAGCCTCAAAATGAACACAAAAACATAAGTAAAAAAAAATTATCTCTCTCTCCGTGCACGGAGTACTTCCTTTTTTTCTTTCTTTTTCTTCGTGCACGGAAACAGTGTCTCCGTGCACAGAGGCTTTTACTCCGTGTACGGAGAGATTAATTTTTTTTTACTGTGTAGTTTTACGTTATAATTTTTTTTTCAATTTAAAATTCTTTTTAATTCTTTTCTCTTCAAATTTTTTACTTGCAAGTAATATGTTGTAAAAAAATTTATGTCGCATATTATCTCTATCTTTTTTTCTTTTTTTTTTTATATAAAAGTGATTTTTTTCTTATATCCCTACTATATATATCTATATCGGAGAAGGCGAGGAATGAAAATTGCGTGTTGCAGTAAATTTAGAGGTAGTGTATAATAAAATAAAATATATATCAAACAAACGGCGTCGTTTTTTACCCCCAATTGAAAAAAAAAATGCTACAGTAAAGATGGATCAAGACATTGTTGTTTTCTACAGTACCTTCACATTTCCTTTTTTATATAGTAGGGAAATGAATCATAATTAATCTCTTAAATATGAAATTTTTCTTTATTTTTTTTCTCTATATTATTGGATTGGGCTCTGGGGCGGGGCTGCGGCTGGGGCTGGATTATAGCCCGATCCAACCCTCATCAAATTTTCCCTTTGGCCTAAAATTTTGCTTGTATATTTCAAAATTATCATTTAAATGTTTTGTAAAAATGTATTTTATTGTTATGGTTGTAACAATTATCAAATTAGACATCGATTGTAATAATTTCATTATGTACTATGATTGGTGAAAATTTATTTTTACATTTATAACAATTCGTGATATTATTAAATATTTATTTAAGATAATATGGTCACCATAATTATTTTGAAAGGAAAAATAATATTTATCAATTTCCAAAATTTATATAACTTAAAAATGAATTTAATATATCAGTGGCCAAGAAATAATGAAAATTAAAAATGGTTTCTAAATAAACGGCGAAGGGAAATTTTTATTGTAGAATACTAATTAATATGGAATAACAACAAACTCAAGACAAAAAAAGAAAATAATCGAGAACCTTAAATTATTATTATTATTATTTTTCCTTTCACGTGAGTCAAAAGTAACATTTTAATTACAGATAAATGGAGAAAATAAATGCAAAATATGGTACTCAATTTTTTTTTTTTAAATTTACAAAATACTAAAAATTGTACCCACTATTTTAATAGACAGAAATTTAAACTTTGTGGACAATCCCAAACTCTGTGAAGTGAACATTCTCCCAAAACTACGTGTGCACTGGTTCCTTCTTCATGTTCATAATTAGCACACTTGTCTCCATTTCATATTTGCAACGTTTGACCCCAATTAAATTAAAATTTATTTTTCTCTCACTCTTCATCAACCACATATTATTCAATAAAATAATATTATATATGAGCCTTTTTTTTATTCAATAACACATTTTCCAAAAAAAAATATCATTCCCCTCGGCAAAATGCGAAATAATGGAGCCCAATCTGGGACTTGAGTATCAAGTCCTTGGGATAAAAAAGACTACAATTGATTTAAGTCCGTGAATTAAAATGAAAATTCTTTGATGAGGAAGATAATATAGGGGATTTTGTTTAAGAAACCTAGTCAACCATAATCTTTGGTAAAATAGCCTATATCAATACTTTTTGTTCAAGTAGTCCATAGTCTATTTGATTATTTATTAAAAGTCTTAAATACCCTTAAATTGAAATGACTAAAATATCCAATTTGGAAATGAATATTACCCAAATCCCCAAATATAAATCCCTAAATCCCCTTCATTTCTCTCGTTTCCAAGTCCATTTTCACCATATTAAACTCACCTTCAAATTCAGCTGTATTCTTCTTCATATGCATTATTCTTGCTTACAATGAATGATTGCATGTTGAAGTTCTCTTTCTTGAACCAAGAACAAATGAAATAGTGCAAATTTTGGAGGTGAGTTAGCAAGAATCGATTTCACACAGTTGAAGGTGAGCTTTATAAATTGAAAATTATCGATTTGTTATTATTTTCTAGTTGTATACTATGAGAAAAATCAATTGGGTAATTAAAATTTGCTGTAAAATATTGAAACGGAATGGTGTCGTTTCTCAGTAGTTGGGTGCCCTTTTTCCCAACTAGCTGCCGTTTTAATAAGATAATGGAGGTGTTGATATACTTGTTGGCAAATTAGTTGTTTCCCCATTCTTTTATAGCATTTTATTATCATAAATAAATTTACACGACACATACACATTTTAAACTACGAAATACCGTTTTATTCTGCTTAAATCTGTTATGTAACAATATGAGTAGCATTTTGTTTGTTATTGAAGTTGTGATTTATAGTATTCAGTTTTGGCAATTAATGGAGTAATATTTTTTTTTGTTGAATTGCAGATATGGACTCTGGTGCAATGATTGTTATTTGTTATTTTGTTAAATTTGAAAAGAGTGATGAAGGTGGATGGAGTTGGAAATGGATAGGGAATGATAAAGACACCGCAACAAATATTTTTGTATCAAAAACAATTTCATATGCAGAGTTGTATAACGAAGTCCGAAAAGTAGTTAAGGTAGATCCCAATGTGTATGACATCGAGATGAAATTTCTCGTTCTCGACATGGCAAAATTATCAGTTTCGCCAATGAAGATTACTTGCGATATGGATGTTAGTTGATTTCTTTCTTTGCATGACAAAGTTCCAATTTGTGTAACCCTTGTAAAAAAGGGTTATGTTGATCAACAAGACGTGAATGTTGATATTGTAAATGTTCAGGAGAATCATGAATGCATTTCAAATGTTGTTGCAACTAACAATGCGGTGGACATGGATGAACTGTATATGCAAAATGATCAGTCCGATGACAATTATATGCGACCGTTGTCTCCATGTAATCAAAATTGTGAAAACGATTGTGTGACCTTTACAAGTGATGATTATTGGGATGGGGTAGAAGTAGTGCATGGCAACTACATAGATGATTCTCATGTGATAAATGAAGACAATGTTACTCATAATACACCTTTTACATTGGTAGATGAGATCATTGGAATTTCCCAAGTTGTTGCCTATCCGAATCCTTGTGGAACATCAATTAAGATTCCTGACGTCGATGATGTGCACGTTAGCCAAATTTTTCGCAACAAGAAGGATCTTCAGGCATCACTACAAATGCTTACTGTAAGAAACTCTTTCGAATTTAAGGTCACCAAGTCAAATAAGAGTACATATGTAGCAATATGTGTTGAGGAAATTTGCAAATGGCGTTTGCAGGCAACACAATTGAAGGAAAGTGACGAATTTGAAATTCGAAAGTATTCACGTTATCATAATTGTTCATTGGATGTTCGTCACAAAGATCATAGACAAGCTAGTTGTGGGATGATAGGAAAACACATCATGTCGAAGTTTGAGGATCCCAACATTATATACGGACCTTCGAACATTCAAAATGATATTCGTCGGGAGTTTGGCATAGATATAAATTATTATAAGGCATGGATGGCTAGAGAATGTGCTATAGAGCTATTAAGAGGTTCACCTGATCTTAGTTATGATAGATTGGCCAAGTATTGCAATATTCTGAAGAAGAATAATCCTGGTACAGTGACGTTCATTGAGGTTGATAATGAGAACCGATTTAAATACTTTTTTATGGCTTTAGGACCAAGCATACATGGTTTTCATTCATCAATGAGACATGTCATTTATGTGGACGGAACATTTATGAAATCAAAATTTCGAGGTACGTTACTTGTTGCCACGTGTCAAGATGCAAATCTTCAGATATATCCTCTTGCATTTGGCATTGTTGATTCTGAAAATGATGCATCATGGACTTGGTTCTTCGATAAGTTGTTTCAGGTAACAGGTATGTTGGAAGGGCTTGTTTTCATTTCTTATCGCATGGATAGCATTGGTAACGCTATAAAGATTGTTTATCCTTATGCACATCATGGATGTTGCATGTGGCATCTACAACTAAACATAAAGTCAAATTATCATAAGGCCGATATTCTGCCATTGTTTATGGCAACTGCAAAGGAGTATAGTTTGATTAATTTTGAAAAATCAATCGCAAATCTATATCGTAAAAGTCTGGCAGTTGGACAATACCTAGAAAAGAAAGTTGGGTATGAATTTTGGTCCCGAGCACATTTCAAAGGAATCCATTACAATATTATGACAACTAACAATGTAGAATCTTTGAACTCGTTATTCAAGAATGCTCGGGAGTTTCCAGTACTTGCTATGGTTGAGCAAATAAGAATAACTTTACAAAAATGGTTTTATGAGAGACACATTGAGGCGGAAGAATGTGCAACTACTCTAACCCCTCTCATTGAGGATAAAATGCGTAAAAAGTATAATGATGCAAAGGGACTGATAATGGTACCAATAAATGAGTATGAGTTGCACGTCGGTGTTGAGAATGAAATGCATATCATGAACTTGGAGGCAAGAACCTGTAGTTGTAGGGAATTTGATTTGAAAAAGCTTCCTTGCAAACATGGACTTGCAGCAGCGAAATTTAAGGGAATATCTTGTTACAGTTTGTGCTCACCTTATTATACCAGTGCTAGTTTGAAACAAGCATATGCTGAATGTATATATCCAGTGGCAAATGAGGTTGACTGGGAAATCTCCAATCAGCCAAAGGTGTTACTATACCTTTCGAATCGACGACAAAGTGGACGTCCAAAAAATCGTCGAATTCCATCAAGAGGAGAGGAAAAAAAGACTCGTAAATGTAGTAAGTGTGGCCAAAGGGGCCATAATCGTCTGACTTGCAAAAATGCTCTACACTAGTTGACAGATGCATAGAATATTTTTTGTTTAACATAATCTTGAAATTATAATAGATTATAATGATTTTTGATATATTGTGATAGTTGTCTGACAAAGTATGATAGCTACTTCAAATAGATTTTTGATAAATATGACAGCATCACAATTTGTTCGGACCAAAACGGCATTAGGTCGTTTTAAATGTATGGGTGCTATGTCTACTCATTTCGTGTTCATTTTTGTTCATTCACGTTTGTTACGGATGGATGAATGTTAATCATTTATTTAATCTTTACATTGTGATATATTTTGATCAATTATAATAGATTTGTAAATTAGATTCTGATAAAAATGACAGCAGCACTGTTTGTTTTGCCAAAAACGGCAGTCGGGATTTTTAAACTTATGGGCGACGTTTCTACTCATTTTGTGTCCATTTGGTGCAATGAAGCTCGTAACCACTTGAAAATTAAAGGACGAAGGTTCGAATTACATTTTGCCGTTACGATCGACTCATTTGTCCGAACTATAGTGAGTTTCTCTATAGTCCCACCGACTACACTACACTACACTCCGCTAGACAATGAAGAACAACCTAAGGGGAAAGTGTGGTATGCAAATCATAGCACGTGTAGTCATTCAACGTGTCCCGGACGTTTATCATGTCCCAAACATCGTTGTGCTACTTTCGGAGTGAAATCGGTACCTCCGGGCCCAAAACGGCAGTTGGGTATTTCAAACATATGGGCGACGTTTCTACTCATTTCGTGTCCATTTGGTGCAATGCTGCTCGTAAGCACTTGAAAATTAAAGGACGAACGTTCGAATTACATTTCGCTATTACGATCGACGCATTTGTCTGAACTATAGTGAGTTTATCTATAGTCCCACCGACTACATTACACTACACTCCGCTTGACAATGAAGAACAACCTAAGGGAAAAGTGTGGTATGAAAATCATAGCACGTGTAGTCGTTCAACGTGTCCCAAACGTGTATCATGTCCCAAACATCGTTGTGCTACTTTTGGAGTGAAATCAGTACCTCCGGACCCAAAACGGCAGCTGGGCGTTTCAAACGTATGGGCGACGTTTCTACTCATTTCGTGTCCATTTGGTGCAATGAAGCTCGTAACCACTTGAAAATTGAAGGACGAACGTTCGAATTACATTTCGCCGTTACGATCGACGCATTTGTCTGAACTATAGTGAGTTTCTCTATAGTCCCACTGACTACACTACACTACACTCCGCTTGCCAATGAAGAACAACCTAAGGGGAAAGTGTGATATGAAAATCATAGCACGTGTAGTCGTTCAACATGTCCTGGACGTGTGTCATGTCTCAAACATCGTTGTGCTACTTTCGAAGTGAAACCGGTACCTCTGGACCCAAAACGGCAGCTGGGCGTTTCAAACATATGGGTGACGTTTCTACTCATTTCGTGTCCATTTGATGCAATGAAGCTCGTAAGCACTTGAAAATTGAAGGACGAACGTTCAAATTACATTTCGCCGTTACGATCGATGCATTTATCCGAACTATAGTGAGTTTCTCTATAGTCCCACCGACTACACTATACTACACTCCGCTTGACAATGAAGAACAACCTAAGGGAAAAGTGTGGTATGCAAATCATAGAATGTGTAGTCGTTCAACGTGCCCCAGATGTGTATCATGTCCCAAACATCGTTGCGCTACTTTCGGAGTGAAACCAGTACCTTCGGACCCAAAACGGTAGCTGGGCGTTTGAAACGTATGATTGTATTTTAGGATTTAGGGTATAGGGCTTAGGGTATAGGGTTTAAACCTATACTACAATTTTTCGACGTACAGCGTTTTTAAGATGTTTCAACATTGACTCGCTAGTTTTGGAGTGAATTCGAGACTCCTTGACCCAAAACGACATATTGACGTTTTACTCTTATGAGTGCCATTTAAGGTATACGGTATACAAAAAATCACGTGTATTCATTCAGTACATGCAATCCTGTTACAAGTATGACTGCCATTTAGGGCACACAAACCATAGCACATTTTGATGCACTTTAGGAGAACACTTTAGTCGTATGACCCCAACGGCATGCTGTCGTTTTAAACGCAGAACTGTCATTTTTCATATAATAGTCTATTTTTCAACACCATATAGATAAGTTATGACAAACTGTATCTTCTTTTCAACCATGCCTGCTTCAATATTTGAATGAAACATCCTATAATGAAAATAATATAATTTGTAAAAAATATTGATCAACATAAAAAAAAAACTATCGTCTACACAAATCTGACTAGAAAATCAACATCTAAAGAAACTAGATAAATCTAATTGATCAGCATCCAAATTTGAGTACACAAAATCAACATCCATAAATTTCATAGAAAGATTGATGAACATCCAAAACTGACTAGACAAAAATCAGCATCCGTGCACATGTTTTCCAACTACATCATTTCAAAACTACCATGTAGACAAAAATAGCATCAGAGTTCTAAATCTTCCAACCACATAAACGTGCAAAATATAGCCAAAAAAACAATTATGGATCGAAATGCATAGCAAAAACTTCAGCGGCTAGTTTCTTCCTCCAACTGTCAATCATAGTATCGGACATAAGTTTCACGTCTAATCCCGCCTATAAAAGCTCTATGAACTTGATAACGTATATTTCACAATCTCCCCTGCGAATATATATTTGTCATAATAAATATATGCACTATCAAAATAAGTGAAAATCTAAAAAATTTTAAAGATAGATTATTTACGCATTGTTTTGTTGTGAAACGTCTGTGTGTTGACGCCATAGAAACTGCTTGTGTGGGTAGTTTTCCCCGAATAACAAACTTTCTTTCATCATTCTAGGAATCACCTTCACAATTGGACGCATGATTTTTTGCAATTTTCCAAAATGTGTCAAACTCTTCATGCTGTCATATACATATATAGTTCGTTCGGCAAAGTCCACTTTAAGTGCAATCTAGTGCTTTATTTCCACATTGCAGGGAATATTCAACGATGTACAAGAATCCCATCGCTTGCTCCATTCTGAATTTTTACCATATATATATCTTGTCATATTTTTCATCCATTTAAAGTCTTGTACTGGCTTTCTTTCTTTCTTATGCAGCTCAAAATCTTCAAACCTCTTGGTGCACATGTTAGTAAAAGCACAATCCAAAATTACACAATCTTGTGGGAACACAGTCGGATATGTATGTATTCGTGCCCTCATCAACAACAACGCTATGTCAATGTGCTGCAGATGTATAAAGCCATTTAAGAAGATGAAGTATGAGAAAAATATAGAATGCTAAAATACTTACATCACTATCGAGCCATCCAAATTGCTTCTGAATTTCAAGAAAGAAACTTTTTGGCTTCATGAACATCATCATGTCCACATGTTCACTGCATAAAACAAATAACATAAGAACATATATTACAACTTCACAAAAATAATTAGTGTAAGAATAGTTACCTGTCAGGTGCATTAACCAACCAATTCTGTAAGTCATCTGCCTTAGCTGGATCTAGCTCTCGAAATGGGTCAAATGCGTTTACATTGTGAAGCTTCCTCCTCTTCTCCGGATTTGTGAACGGAGATTCAAGAACAAGTGACCTTTTCTTGATTCTCATCCCACGCCCAATCTGACTTGACTTATCAGACTCATCTTCCACCACTATAGGGATGGACTCCATTACATCACCATGTGATATAGAATCCATCGGTACACAGGTATCTTTCTCTTCCATATGAGTTTCATCATCATTCGGCAAATCTGTTGCTTGCCTTTGCTCATTTTCCACTTCAATGGGATTTGGGTTATTCATATCATCTGCTTGTTTTTGTTCATTGCCATTTGCGGACAACGTTGCTTTTTTTACAATAACTGGTTCATTTGCCAACACATAATCTTCCACTTCTCTCTCCTCATTGCCATCTTGATTCTCATCATTTTGAACTTCTACATGTACAAGTGGATCCTCATTTACATCACATGTTTCTCCAGTATTCATAAATCCACTACAAAGAGAAGAGTAATATGTGTAAGGTGTTGTTGACGGGTTAGAATTCTTCATCCACTCCACAATAGATGATATCTTCTCATCAATTTGTCTACGAAAGGATGTAACACAATCAAACCTTTGGTCTATGTAAGATCACATCTCATCTATCCACCCTTCATTTTTCCTCTCTAAAATCTCCACCATCTGTAGTAATTGCATTCTCAATTCCTGTGCGAACTCATCTCTAGATGGATACAGAGATGGTTATGATGTAGATGGTTCCGGATGAAATGTATGAGCATCTGTAGAAGTAGGTGGCCTATGAAAAGAAGATGGATCCCGAGGAGATGTAGAGGCATTAGGAGAGTGGCAAGTTTGCTAAGGAAGATCAATACGAATGGACGAATCTGCTACATTCTCCTTATCCACAAAGATATCAACTGTTGGATCCTCTACTTCATCCTCGAATCGATGAATCTCTATCCAATATGCTTTGGAAGCCTCTTCCGGCGTAGGCTTCAGTGTGCAATGAACAACAATCTATATGACAAATGAGAGGCACACTTAGTTGTTATAAAGTACACTACATATTTTGATATACATTTAAAATTTACTTACATTTGGTTCATCCATCCTTGCACCAATATCCTTGTAGTTAGGCATTTTAGAAGAATCCCATCGACCTATTCTGGGGAGGTCAGCATCCTATAGATTCTCATCATATCTCCGTCCAATAGATGGTATGGCTTCATATGCCCAAATCTGCATAAGATGCAAAATATTACAATCTAAACAAAATGAATAATAAATTATAATTTTAAAAACATTACCTGCAAGGCGAGTGGAAATCCATAAATTGAATATGGATATTTCTCATTATTTATCAAGTGACTTCACCAACGATTTTCAGTCTCTCGTGAATACATCAATTGTGCGGGCAAACGCCTTTCTCCCCCAAGGATAACTATTAAAAGCATCTAAGTCATCAACCATTGACAAGTGTTCTACATTTATGT